CTTCCTTCCTTCCTTCCTTCCTTCCTTCCTTCCTTCCTTCCTTCCTTCCTTTTTGTCAGGATCCTAAACTCTCCAGTCCTGACCTTAAGAGATTTTCTACGATTGCCTTAAAAGTAACCCCCACCCCACCCACCGCCGCCTCCGCCGCGCACTGTCTGCGGGTCCGCCTTTCGTTTGTCTTTCCGATGGGGGGGAGAAAGAAGGGAGGCGACCGGCCAGGTTGATCTCATTCTTCCAAAAATCCATCCGTCTCGCCCGTCCGTCCTGGGGGCCTCCAGACTCCTTCCTAATCACCTATTAGTTTCAGTTTAGGTTTGAGGGCGAGCGGGCAGGTGTCGAATATCGCCCTTTAAAATGCTACGGTGAGTCTCCCGGGCAGCGCTTAAACCGAGAGTTTCTGCAGACAAGGCGGGGAAGGACGAGCAGACCGGGCCAGGTCTCTCTCCCTCTGTCTCGTCTCTCTCTCTCTCTCTCTCTCTCTCTGCCTCCCTCTGTGTGTGTATGTGTGTGTGTGAGCGAGAGCGAGCGAGCGAGCGACCGAGCAAACACGGAGAGGAAAAGAAACCGCCGCTTGTGCCTCTCAATATTTGTCACAATACCGCGTCTCTTTTTCGTCCTTAGCGAGGATCAAACCAGGATGCTCCAAGCCTCGGCTAAACTGAAGCAAACAGCGCCAGCCTTGTTTTATCTGGGATTTTTTTTTTGCGGCGGCGTTGGGGGTAGGGGGGAGTTATAGTAGTAGCCACTTAGTCCCGTCCCACCCCAACCCCCACCCTTTGGTTTCCAGGAATCTGGGTAGGGCGGCTGTGCCCCCTTGTCCGCCCGGCCGCTCCATCGAGTTGTGGGAAACTGTCCCTCGCTTGCTTGCGATTTGATGGAAGCTGTAGTCCAAGGCGTCAGGAAAAGGTCCCCGGTTGAGGAATACGACTTGGGGGAGGTTTCTTCCACAGGAAGCGTGTCTTTTGTGTGGGGGTGTTTTTTTAAAAATAAATAAATAAATAAATAAAAAAAATCCGCCTCCGCCTTCTCCTGTTCAATTTATGAAAAGCCCGGGCGGCGGAGAGGGAGGAGGGGATTGTTCCAACCCCGAAAGCGAGAGGCCGGTGAAGAGAGGCGCTTCGGGGGGAGAAGGCAGGCGAAGCGATTGGAGGAATCCTCGTGCCAGACCAGGCCGCGGGTTCAGAGGGGCGGGATGGAAGGAGAGAGTGGGGCATTTTATGGGGCTTCTGGATTGCGCAAGGCGGCCTGCCTCACCCTCCGCCTTGGAAGAGCGGCCCCACAAAAGCACCCGGGGAACAAACTGTTCCTCCGGCGGGCGGAGCATCCCACCCTGCGGGGAAGAGATCCAGCTAATCCCGGGCCAGAGCCTCTCTCCCCCACCCCCGCCCCGCAGGTTCATTTGGGTTTTTTGTTTTGGTTTTTTGCCGTGTCAGGCGGGCTGCGTAACGTTTTGGCACCGGCGGCGCCCGAGTGACCGAAGCTGGAGCCCTTTCGCAGCTATGAACCTCGATCTGGTAGCTTCCCGGGCCCCGCAAGAGCCTCCGACACCGCCCGGGGTGGGGTAGGGTAGGGTGGCCGGGCGCATCAGCCCTATTAAGGTTCTCCTAGCAAGGCTGGGAAGAAGGAGCGGAGCGGGGCGGGGGGGGGGGGGGAAGAGAGTCGAGGGCATTTCGGGCAGCGGCCGGGATGAAGTCCCGGTTTGGGTGGGATGAAGGACGGCTCCTTCTCGTCCTCCACTCAGCTCCACTCAGAGCTAGGGCGCCTCTGCCCCGTTGGCCGAAGCGGAGCACCGCAATGGTTCTGGAGAGCAGTTGGGAGAGACGGGGGGAGAGAAAGAGAGAAGGAGAGAGGGAGGAGGAGAGAGAATAGGAGATGGAGAGAAAGAGAGAGAGAGGCGGAGAGGGAGAGGCAGAGGAGGAGAGGGAGGAAGAGAGAGAGAGGAGAGAGAGGCAGAGAAGGAGAGGGAGGGAAGAAGAAAGGGAGAGAAGGAGAGAGGGGGAGAGAGAGGAGGAGAGAGAATAGGAGAGGGAGAGAAGGAGAGGGAGGAAGAGAGAGGAGGAGAGAGAATGGAGAGGAGAGAAGGAGAGAGAGAGAGAAGGAGAGGAGAGAGGGAGAGGGAGGAAGAGAGAGAGTGGCGAGAAGGAGGGAGGGAGGGGGGGGGGGAGGGGGGGGGGGGGAAGAGAGGGGGGAGAAAAGAAAAGAGAGAATAGGTGTAACCAGAGAGCTGCAGAGGTCAGTTGCAATGAAGACCTCGCTTGAAAGTTGCACTCTGAATAGTAAAAATAAATAAACCAACGAATCAATAAATCGATCGATGGAACCGAATTTTATGGCGGACCCGCCTGCCGCCAAAGACGGGCGAGAGGATCCCCTTGCGCTGGCCGCGTCCTCAGCCTGAATCGAGGCCTCTTTTTTTTTTCGGGGGGCCCCCGCGCCAGAGCGCCGCTTTCCTGAGGAGTTCAAGGCGCCTCCTGCAGTGACCTGTGTCGCCTCTCCCGTCGGAGGCGGCCCGTTTCCCCAGCCGATTGGACCGCGCCTGGCTTCTTCGCTTCTCTGTCCGAAGCCCCGTCCACCGCCATCGCCCAAAGCGCCGGGCGGCGTTTGGCCGCCGGGACTTCTATCCCGAACCTGCGAGGCCTCGCATCTAAGATTGCCCCGGGGGCGGTGGGGTTGTGGCTCTCAAAAGCCGCAGACCCCACACCCCCGCTTTACGGTACCGCTACGCCGGGAGGCGGGCTGGCGGCGACGAGGGGAGGCTGCGGTTCAACGCCTTTAAGAAATGGAAAGGCCGCGGAGGGGCGTCGGTGCTTTCGCCCCCCCCCTCCCCCAGCAAACCTTTTCGGTCAGGTCGGCGAGCGGGGAAGAGGCCAAAGCTGCGAAGGTGGCTTTTCCTGCCAGCTGACCCAGTTGGGAACGGCGGGCTTTGAGATGCCCTTGCGCGGGATCAGCGCCCGGGCAGACTCGGCTTCCAGGCGAAGGCGCCGAAGGACCCCCAAGAGGCAAGCGACCCCAGGAGGAGGAGGAGGAGGAGGAGGGAGCGGGCCGCAACGAGAGCGGGGCCGTCCAAGCCTTTCCAAAGGGAGACACCCCCCCCCGACCTCCTGGGGTGAGGCTGGGACGGGGGAGGGGGCGCTTGGAGAATCCAGCCGGCTTCTCATCCGCCTTTCACTTTCGCAAGGTAGGGATCCCTTTCGCGCGCGATCATTAGGCCGTCGAGCCTTTGCAGGCGAAGACACCCCCCCCCCCCCCAAATAAAATAAAATAAAAAATAAAGGCCAGCCGGGTCTGGGAGAGGAACAGCCTGGCAAGGCCACAGGGGGCTTCTGCTCGCCTGCCGAACGGGAGCCCCGATTGTGCCGGGTCCCCCTTCTTTTACACCTGCGGGAAGAGCCAGGCGAGGGGCCGGCCTTGCCGCGAAACATCTGGTCCCAATTGGGAGCCGCCACCCCCCCCCCGTCTTCTCTCCCCAAGCCCGGCTACTCTCCTTGCTAGCACGTTGTCCTCTGCAGAAGGTTTGCCATCGTTTGCACCCGTTTTGCAAAATCTTGGAAGAGCTTTCCAGGCTACCGTTGGGAAGTCAACACGCGCTGGTTCGCGCTATACATGATATACTGCCCATTCAAACAACTGTTGCAGATCTACGAGTGTGAAATGGGTTGCAACCCAAGTGCGACTTCGACTCCCCGACTGAAATTGTGGGCAACTACACCCTTCAGGATCTAGCAGAGCAATTGGCAATTCTCCCTTCCTTCAAAATAAAGAGAGGGGTTATTGGGTGGAAGAATCCATTGGGAAATAAATTTATGGGAACCCCAACCTTCTTCTCATCAATTGGACACATTTGCACAAAAAGTGAACAAACGTTCGTTTTAAACATTGGATTTCTCCCTCCTTTTTGAAATCGACTTAAGGCCATCTTTGTGGGGCTTTAAGCTTTTACATGGCTAATTAATTATAGGAAGCAAAAAAAAATGGGTGTATACAGCAATGTAGCAGTATGTAGATGTACAATAATTAGGTGCTAATTGCCTTAGATTTCCCTACCACATATAACTGCAGGGTGGGCAGACTTTTCAAGACAGCAATGGGCTTAAGTGGGAGAAAGCAAATTCTCTACTCTGTTCATGTTTCTTTGCTCATTGAACACATAACCTGTGTGATATTCCAAAGACACTATTTTAGAAATAGCACTGGATAAAATCACAACTTCTTCAATTCCTCTTTGCATATATAGAAGCTTAAACTGTATGTAATCTGTGTATCGTTCATGTGTGATACATTTTATATCAAACCATGCTCTGAATGAGTATTAATCTGAAGGTATCTTCAGAATTTAGTCTGAATATATTGGGAAATGATGAATGTATTGCACAGGTTTTTTTTCCTTTTAGGCTATATTTGTAAAAGATGTATCCTAACTTTGGGAAAAATATACCACATTTGCTTGCATTTTTGTACAATATTCCATTCAAAATGGAGAAAGCATTACATACTCATATATGGAAATATATTTTTAATATCAAAAGAAAAAGTTTTGAAATTACAAGATCAATTTTGATTATATATTGCAAACAACCCTCTCTGCTTCAAACTCCCCCTCAGAAAGGAACATAAAAGCATGATGCAGGATTCGAATTTGGAAAAAAAAAAAAGGAAAGAAAAAGAAGGGATCCATTGCGGAAAGCAGAAGGAAATAAAATGGCAGCAACAAATCATCTAACACCATTGAAGCTTAGCATCTCCAGCCTCACCAACATCCAACAACTGTCTTCTGGATGATTCATCATTAGGTTTCATCCCCGGAGCAAATAGAGAAAGAGGGGCCGATTCATGCATTGGGGTTATTTCTCATCAGTTCCACATCTGCTTTCACCATCTCATTCACCAGCTCCTGTGAGAAGAGAAAGACACATACATAAACAAGTGTGAGACTCTCCACTCGCACTAAGTTGGGAGAAAATGGTCTGACTCACTATTTAGAGTAAGCCTATTAAATGTTTAACTTCTTCACCTCCCACAACCACTCTACTTATTTCATTTTCCTCCTAATTGGATGGCAACCCCAAGTGCTTTCTGAAATGCATTCACAACGTTCATAGGATGAGAATTAGAGATATAGTTTTAGCACTTACTTTAAAGGACAGTAAATAGATTAAGGTCCTTTTACCACCATGGTGGGTAAAATTTGGACTGTTGGGTGCAAACACCAAAAATAAATAGTTGAACTGATAACTGCTTGCTGTGAATATACATTTGTTTTTCATTTGTTGAATTACACCCTTTCGCTTTCCCTTCAGACCCGAGTTTCTGTTGTTGTTTTTTTAGGAATGTAGCACAATATTGTAACATTCAATCTGAAAAAACGTACTTGGAAAAATGTAGAACATACATTTTAACCTACAAAATGTTTATTCCTGTGGTCAGCTATTATCCACTGATTGCTTAGAATAATTAGATTAGTCTCATCACAGTAAAAGTTGGAGAATTACTGGATGCCTTGTCATTATGTCCTTGCATTGTCTGCATTGTGATCACTTTGGTTTTTGTTGAATTAGATATATACAAATAAAAACTGTGTTTTGTTTCTAAAAGTGATCTTCAATAAAGCATATGGAGGGGAAAAAAAAGAACTTACATCAAAAGTGACACTAGGTTTCCAATTGAGTTTCTGCTTTGCTTTGGTACAATCGCCTTGTAGAAAATCCTGTGGAAAATACAGAAGAAACAAATGGCATTATAGGGTAATTTGGGTGTTGTTTTTTTGTCACTGTTCATAGACCAACTTGAATCTCTCTCTCTCTTTGCCTCTCCCTCTCTCCCTCTGTCTCTCTCTCTCTCATACACACACAGAGAGAAAGAGAACTAAGGCTGCATCTTTAGCCAAATGAAAGGAAAGCCTCAGCTAAGTCTACCTGATTCCTTTGTTGAACATTGAAATACAGAAGGAGGATTATAAAAAGATTGATACAACACTATTTTACTCTACTGTTGTAATCACCCAGAGATTATTATATAAATTTCCCCCCAATAAGTACATCTACTAGAGATTCTTAGAAATCCATCTTTCCAAATTTTACAGCACCAAATGAAGAATTGTTTTGTAATAAATTATTGCACATAACCAAATACTGAGTCTTTTTTAAAAACCTTATTTTAGATTATCATACATGCTGAAGTTTGGTTTTCACACTACTAGAAATCAATGCCCTGTACTTTGCTTTTGTCCTGCTTTAATCACATTTAAGAAAACCAAATGGCAAACCCAAGGTATGTTTTTCTTCAGCTAGATCCACACAATCACCACAGCCAGAGGGCTGTATGTTTCATAATTGAGATACACCATGTACAAAAAAATGACCCAAATGAATTATTCTGAATTTCCTATTCATCATTGACAGTATTGCTGGGTATAGTATAGTTTTACCTGTAAATATTAGTAATAACAGAACAAGACAGAACAAAGAAAACAGCATAATTCAAATGCTTAAAGTATTTCCATTCATTTCAAATTTATAGAGAAGTGTTTGATAACCTCTTTTATAAAAATGCCTAAGACTGTAGGTCTGCATTCATGCAACAATTCCACCAAAGAACCGTCTTTACTGTAAACCAATCGGATTACTGCATTTGCAGACTAATTTTAATAATGGAGAATGGCACATTCCATCTGTTCAACAGCCATCGGTTGCAGCTGAGTTTTGGGTTCAGCAAGAACTTAAAAAAAAAAAAAACTGCAGTACTGAGTGTATTTTTACAAATAGTTCATGTGGTGAAAAACAATGCACCTCTCTAAAAAGTGCAACTTAAAAATAAAGCTGGGAGCAGAAACTACTTAGCTACACTGTTCACGCTGTTGAGTGAAATGAGTTATCTACTTATTTAGCCTCCAGATAGAGTCTGAACTGGAGCCTACAAACTGGTTCTGGGGAAGACTGGAACTGTGTGCCAGATCTTTTGTTTTCTTAACTATGGAATTCCATGCAAGTCAACTCAGAGAAGCATGATTGGCCTCATGGAGACTTACTCCAAGGTGCAGTCCTACAGCCTTAGACTGAACATTTGATTTTAGGATGAGCCCATGAAAGCAAAAGAACGATCAAAAGTCAACTAGCTAAGACAAACATGGCCACTGCTGCTATTCTGCTTCTGATGGAGCACAGCTTTGCAGGAATCAAATGTTCAAAGCACAATCTAGATTACTGTTTGTTTTTTCTACAAATGCTTTTTTGTTGCCACCAGGCTGTAAAAATATACAAGGAAGGGGGAGGAGGAAAACATTCTATGCTACACCCTGCCCTATGCTATGGTGTAAGCCATATCCTGTCTTCAACACAGCTTTTAGGTAAAATAAAGGAAATCAAGACAGGCAGGCAGGCAGGCGGACAGTAGATGTGTGTGTAAATGTTGTTGTTGTTATTATTATTATTATGACACAGAGTAAAATCTGTCTATTTTTTTAAATCCTGTTTTTAAAAAATCTACGCTCTGAGCTTAAAATATGAATTACAATTTGCCCCTGCTCCTTGATGAGGGAGCCAAATTGTTGCTGTTTAACTGTACAATTCTCCCACAGATTAAGTTCACTTATCTGTGATATGATCTCTCATAGGTAAAAGCAGGAGTTGATCAAATGAGACTTTTTACCCTGCCCTCCCTTTTTGTAATCGTAGGTTTAAGTGTCAAAGGCCACACAATTACATGTATTCAGCATGAACACATGGCAATTCATTTTTACAGTTTTAGAAAATGAATACTCCTTCGCATTGAAGAACTATCTGCAGCGTGTGGTCTGGATGTTTCTTTAAAAGCAATGAAAACCAGAGGGGAAAAATGCAAACAATTTCTATGTAAATATTCTATTTCCTGAGTGCTGCTTCTGAGTGTCATCGTCACCTTCATTTTAGCTCACTAAGTGAATAATCTGGTTTCACTCTGCAACATATTACTGTCCAATTCTATTTTCTTTACCAAAGTCTTAGAAAGCTTCATAGTACAAGGTCAGGAATTTATTAGAACTGTTTTTTTTAAAGGACAATAGACTTTGTTTGGTTGTTTTAAACTTAAACCATGATTCCTGGAGAAGGCAAAGTAGGAATCCCATAAGCAGAAACATCCTAAATACTACACGGAAAGAGGGGGGAAATTAATGATAGTATGTATTTATATTTCACAGAGTAGCAGAGCCTACCATTTACTCAGTCAATTTCAGATATGCAGGGATTAACAGGAGACAAACAAGCAAGTAGAAAACAATGCTCCATCCAATCAAGGAAACCATACTCCCATCAAAACTGGTATGGCAAGCTAATATATATATATATATATAGTATACTTTATATACTATACACTCTTAATTGGCAACAAACCCCACACTCACTTGCATAGATATTATCTAGTTGGATAATGAAACATCTGCAAGCAAATGAAAAAGCTCAAAGAGCACAAAGAACTCCACCGTTCAACCTTAAGCTACAGATATTCTATTGTAACTATACTTAGGAAATGAGAAAATCAATAGCATGAACTGCTATAAAGAAGACATGAAGTGTATTTGTATTCATAATTATATTCCAATATATATCAAGGATTTACCGTAGCTAACAGTACTGTAGCATTTAACTGGATGTTTTTCTCCTTTTAAATATGGATATTACTATATGGGAAGTGATAATGCTTCTTGGATTACATGTGTAAATTATGTATAACTTTATATAATAACTTGCATATCAACTACAGTTACCAATCATATTCTGTGTCATGTACAATTAAATGGTCTTATTTCTCAAATTAGTACAAATAATTTTTCAACTAAAATAATATAGCATATCAAGGAAATATGTTAAAAGATAGATGAAATTACACTTCTTTTATTCTGAATTTGGAAAATATTCCTTCTAACTTTTTTATAATCCCTTAATTAAAATATGATTGATTGCCTTACTTATAATAAAAGATTAAGGTATTAAATGAAGGATATTGTTGGAAAGAGACTGACTGACTGAGCCCAGGGGAGGAGTCAAATGGGAAATTAGTCTGGAATCTCTGTGTGGAAACAAGAAAGCAAAGTATGATCCCAGTTGAATGTCATTGAACCTTATCTATTATTCAGGTGCAAACTTCAATCTGAGAAGATTGCTCAAGATAGGTTTGAATAATAAAACAATTAACTGAACTCTGTACATGTGAATATGATTAGATCTGATCCACCTGACAGATATAATGTAAAAAGTTCTGAATGGAAGATAGATCATCATTTGATACTATCAAAAATGGATCTTAATAGAAATGGACATGGAGGAAAAAGAAACTTAAAAAAACTAGAGTGAAAGTACTTCAGCATGACTTCAGGAAGAGAGTCCAGCATGAAAAAGTACTAAAAGTTACTACTTTTGCAGAGCAAAATGGAATGTGCAGATATGGAAAAAGTATGGAAGATGAGAATAAAAGATATTATATAATGTGTATATAGCAAAAAAGCTGGCTGCACAGAGAACAAAGAATGGCTAAAATTAAAAAACATTGAGAAAATGTGTAGCAATTGTTATACAAATAAAAAATTGTTTCAGAAATAGCTAGAAAGAATCAACAAGGAACTCCAAAAGAATGAGAAATAGAAAAATAGAATGAACTTATTTAGGATGAAAATAAAGTGAGATAACAGTAGAAGGAGTATTTTAGGATTTATATGGGGGTGACATTAATATGCTGTTGTGCAATAAATTCTGTTAACATTCATGTGAAGAAGATATTGAAAGAAGAAAATAACAAATGCTGTGATGTATATTGTAAAATTGTAATGCTGAAGATGTATGAGGTATAACTGGAGAAATATTAAACTAAGTTTGCGGTTGTATGAGTTGCTTAATGTGTGTAAATATTACACTTTTGTTGTCAATTGGAAAATGTAGTTATTGTTCCTCTATAGACTACAAACTTCATCAAAGGGAATGGTAGTAAGAAGAAATAAAGAAAAAAAACCCTAAGAATTATAATACAAGTAAGTGGGGATAGGAAAGGGTTTGGCAGAATTTTGATTGGACTAATATGAATGGTGTCAATGATTCGGGAAGTTTAGTGGTACTTTATTCTAGGCAGGAGATGTGTAGATTGGATTTTTCCTCCCCAGCAGGCCACTGAGAAACGTATGAATATGAGAAAGAGAGTTTATTGCAAATTATTTGATTTAGAGAAAGCATATAGTAAACGGAATAGGCCAAAATGACAGAACGTTTTGTACAAATATGGAGCTGGAAGTTGGTTGCTGAATACAGCTGGGAGTAGCATATGGGGAAAGAAGAGCACATTTGTAAACAACCTCAATGCTTAGTAAATAGTTCACATTGAGCAGGAAGTAAGGCAAGGATATGTTGTATCTGTCCAGTTATTTCAATCTGATGGAGTTAGTGCATTGCAGATTCCTTCAATTAAACAATGCCATCTATTGGAAGCCTGGAAATTCTCCTTCTCTATCACAGCTCCTGCCCTCTGGATCCAAGTGGTTTCTTCTCTACATTTTAGCATTTTGGAGGATCATGAAGACCTGGCTGGCTGTTCACATAGGCCTTTGGTTAGGATTGGTATAACCACTTGCAAGGAGTTGGTATGTTACTTCTTGGTTTCGCCATTTTGTTTTGGGGATTACTTCTTTTATTGCTGTTTTTTTAAAAAAATGTTTTATGGTTTTCATGCTTTCTTGTAAACTGC